GATATTATTAAAACGTTTTTATTAATATTAAAATTGATAATTAAAAGAATTCTTGGAGATTTAAAATTTTATTTTTGATAGTGAAAAAAATTAACTTAAAAAATCATCTTGGTCAAATCGGAACTCGGATGACGGCGGAACGGGGGGCACTGTCTTGACAGTTATTTCATTTTACAATTTTCTTATGTGAAAGTACAACTAATATGAAATTGTAATCTAAAAAGGTGCTTCCTGGGTAGAAAATATCATGCTCATTGCAAAAAGCAATTATTGATTATTTCGGAGCTACGTGAACGCGGCCGTGGCAATGCTGAGACTAGTAGACGCGTGGCTCACGAACGTGCGTCCGTTTAAAAAGCGATGCGGATTCGCTAATTTTTAAATAATTACAACTACTTTGTGAGGCGTGACTCGAAAAAATGGTTCGGGACTCTTCGACTCAGTTTTTCATGAGAAATATCACTATATAAATGGTGGGCGCGAATTAGAATACACCCTGTATACCAAGAATTTCGAAAGAGAAAAATTTTTGTCTCTCGGTAATCTTAACGAGGATTATTCCGCGGTAATGGAGATTCCCTCATACCTTCAAGCAGATTTCGTATGGTGGATTAACGTCTTTTCCAATCCCAGTCAATCTAACCGAATTCGTTCGGGCAGATTTATTCGGGAAATCTTCTCAGATGCGTCTCTGAACGGTTGGGGAGCTTCCTGTGGTGAATTGCGTACACATGGCTGGTGGTCAGCAAATGACAGAGCCCTTCACATCAACTCGCTTGAACTGCTGGCAGCCTTAGTGCTTTACGCTGCTTTGCAGCAGATCTTCAAGATTGCGACATCCTACTTCGTATAGATAACACAACGGCGCTAGCCTACATCAACAAGTTCGGTTCGATACAGTTCCCTCACCTTTCGTCTATCTCAAGACAAATATGGCGTTGGTGCGCAGACCGAAACATCTTTATCTTCGCCTCTTACATATCGTCAATAGAAAATTCCATTGCCGACGCTGAATCTCGTATCGCGGATCCCGATACTGAATGGTCCCTATCTAGCGAATCTTTCCAACAAGTAAATAGACTTTTTGGTCCGTTCGGGGTAGACCTTTTTGCATCTTTACTTAATGCCAAGTGCGAGGCCTACGTTTCTTGGTTTCCGGATCCAGGGTCAATAACAGTGGATGCGTTCACGATTTCATGGGAAGAACTGAATTTCTACGCATTTCCACCCTTTATCTTGCTACCGCGGGTACTAAGGAAAATAGTGGACGAGGGAGCAACGGGAACCCTGGTGGTGCCCTGGTGGCCCTCTCAGGCATGGTTTCCTTTGTTTCGTCGTCTCTTGATCTCAGAGCCATTAATATTCCCGCCTAATTACTCCTTGCTCTCTTCACCTTTCAGGAGCCATCATCCAGCGTGGAGATCCCTTTCCCTGGCGGTCGGGAAATTATCAGGGAAGCACTCAAGGCCCGCTCAATACCAGCAGTAGCGATACCAACTATGCTAGCTTCCTTGTCGGACTCCACTATCAAACAATATGCTCGGCCTCTCCGCCTTTGGTGGGATTTCTGTCATCGCCATCGACTGCCTCTTTATACCCCAACGATTTCTCAAACTCTAGAATTCCTAACCCAGGAATTAAGCTCCACTTCTTCTTATTCGAGCTTGAATACAATAAGATCGACTATCTCCCTCATCTCTCAAAATGAAATCGGTTAGCACCCGGTAGTCAGGCGCTTCTGCAAAGGTGTTGCAACACTCAAACCACCACACCCGCGTTATGACTATGTCTGGGACCCGGCTCCCGTGATTACAAAATTGTCTGCTATTTACCCGTACGACTCCTGCACCTTGAGTGTTATCACTAAAAAACTGGTTCTTCTCCTCGCTCTCGCTACGGGTCAACGTGCACAAACGCTCTCTTTGCTCAGACTATCACAGACGTCCATAGACGAAAAATTAATAATGCGCATTCCCGATCGCGTCAAGACATCGGCACCAGGCCGCGCCCAGCCCTTCTTCTGCTTCTCTCGCTTCGAAAATCACAAAAATCTCTGTATTGTTTACCTAGTCGAACAATATCTAGAAAGAACTAAAAATCTGCGGTCTTCGGGATGCGATTCTTTCTTTAATGCCTTAACTAACCCACATAAAGCGGTTACAACTCAGACCATAAGTCGTTGGATTCGACAGGGGCTAGAAGAATGCGGGATAGACACCACGAGATTCACAGCACACAGTACTCGTCACGCCTCAACTTCCAAAGCTGCAATGAAAGGAGTTTCAACCGACCTTATCAAGCGAGGAGCAGGTTGGTCCGGCGAGTCCCGCGTTTTCGCAACTTTTTATAACAGGCCAATCATCAACCCAGAGGACTTCAGTAATGCGATCCTTCTTTCTTAAAGTAACAAGTTCTAATGCAAGAGCAGGAATGATGTTTGCTGTTTCTAATTAAGCGCTGATTTTAATTGTCATTCTAACTATCCAATTAATTTTGATTTATCTTCTTCGTTATCAATATGAAAACTCTTATTTTGTATCGGGGTACCTATGTTAACAACATAGTTAATTTCCTTTGTACACCCTGTTACCAGCATGTAATTACTCTAATACAGTTTATCTTTCATGACAAATCGCGACGCTATGAACAGCTACATAGTTATTCCATCCGGACGAGACAATTAGGCATAATTGTTAGATTGAACGAACTTACCTGAAGTGAAGTTCGATCCTAATTATGCCCTTTGTCTCCGGAAGGACACCCACCCGTTTCTCTTTTCTTCCCCTCCCTACTTTAGGGCGATTTGTAAAATTTTTTGAACTTATGAGAATCGGATGCGCACGCAGCGCACAGGAGCGAGGCGCCAAGTAGCGCCCTCGCTTTTCTTTTACTTTGAACACTGTTGTCTGAAGGTGCGCGCGAGCGCGACTACATAGTTATTCCATCCGGACGAGACAAAGGGCATAATTAGGATCGAACTTCACTTCAGGTAAGTTCGTTCAATCTAACAATTATGCTGCTATATTCACAAATAAATAAAATTGATCATCAAATATCTATCAAATGGACAAAGATAACATCATGAATCAAGAAAACGAAGAATTTAAAAAATGTAAGTAATTTCAACATAACATCAATTAAACAACGAAAGAGTGTAAGTCGCCAGTAGTTTATTATCAGTAGGAAGAATTGTTCAACGACGTTTGGCTGGCAGATGTCTTTATTAGTTTGATTCCAACGTTTCGACCATACGGATTGTGGTCCTTTTCAAGGAAATAGATGTTCTACAAGTTTACAGGACATTGCAGTGTGGAAATTTTTATATCGCTCGCATTATGAATTTTTCTACTTACAAATAATAAATTAACAAAGATATATCAGAGGAACGGTCTACAATCCATCCTTGGGCGTCACTCGAAGAAAGGTGTTCGAAGGCACGTCAATCCGACATAACGACCAAAGTAGGACTGATGTCAAAGTGACGTAAACAAGATACAGAGAACGTGCTAATAAATAAATAACTAGACCAGAGTCGGAGTCAGAAAGATAAAATGGGAATAAATAACTAACACCTAAATAACTAGAATTTAAATTGAAGTTATGAAATAAATAATAAATAATAGATACTTTGGTAACTAAGTTGTGAATAGGTAAAAAGAATCGGAGTCAGACATATGAAGCCAGAATAAATAATTAAGAGATGAATAACTAGATATAAGTCGGGTTTTAAAATCAGAGTAAATAATAAATACTTTAAAACGTAAATTGTAAAATATAATAAATAATTTAAAACGTAAATTGTAAAATGTTAATTTAAGAAATGTATTAGGCTGTCCTATGTCGTATTTAGGTTCTCGGTATCTTTTTGTAGATTTATAGTACCGTTTGTTTTCTTGATATAGAACATCTCCGCTATCTCTCTTTTTCGTAAATTTCTTTCTCTATGTAGTATTCGGGAATCCTGCCAATCAAACTCGTGGCCATATTCTACACGGTGTGTTGAAATGACTGAGAAATTGTTAGATGAGCCATTAACATTGCGTTGATGTTCCTTGACTCTGGTTTGTAAGTGGCGTTTGGTCTGTCCTATGTAGGAGGCATCACACTGATTGCACTCTAATTTATATACTAATTCAGTTTGTTTTTTGTTGTCAACCACATCCTTTCCTCTTTTTATTACACAATCAAGTTTCTTAGGTATTTGATGTAGAACATGGCCATAATTTTGTCTGAGTATGCAATCAACATTTTCACTGAAGCCTTTAACGTATGGAGTCAGAATGTAGTTTCTATCAGAAGTTGTGGGTTCAGTTTCGATGTTTTCTTTCCCGTATGTGATTTCTTTGATTCGTTTATTAATGTGTTTAGTAATGAGCTCTTTGGGGAAACAGTTATTTAGGAGGATTTTTTTCACGATTTCAATGTTCGACTTGTGAAACCGTTTGTCTGACAAAAGAATGGCTTGATCAACCAAACTGATGATAGTGTTAGTTTTATATTTCAACGGATGGCTGGAGAAAAAATTGATGTATCTGCCAGAAAATGTAGGTTTTCAGTACCAATTTGTAATCAAGGTGTTGTTGATTATGTAGACTGTTGTGTTGAGAAAATTAATGGATCTATTAAATATCTGTTTCGTGTGTAAAGGATAGGCGTGGGTGATAGGTATTGAAAATTCTAATGACCTCGGGTATTTTTGATTGTGGCAGTACCATAAAAATATCGTCTACATATCTAAAGAAATAAGGAACTTCGAAATCAAGTAGGGACAGGCATTGCGTTTCCAAATCGTCCATTACAATGTCGGCTAATATGGGAGATAGCGGGGATCCCAAGGGACTGCCAAAAATCTGTTCATAGGGTTGTCCATCGAATGTAAAACATGTGCAGTTTAAAATGAGGTCAATAGCGTATAAAAATTGGGCCAGGTTTAGCTTGGTATGTTCTCGAATGTGTTGCCACCTTTTTTCCAACCCCGTCATCACTAATTCTTTAGGAATGTTTGTGAAGGGAGCAGTTACGTCTAAAGATATGAGAACATTATTCGGGTGGATTTGTTTATTGCTAATTAGTTTGGTGAATGCCCAGCTGTCTTTGATATGTGATTTAGGCTTTGGAATTGCTTTATTTAGGATATTGTGCATAATGCACGCGATGTTATATAAAGGGCTGCCTATTGTGGACACTATTATTCGTAATGGAAAGCCCTGTTTGTGAAGTTTTGGCAGTCCGTAGCATCTCGGAATATTTCCGTTTGTACAATTTAAATATCTGTATGTTCGTTCGTCGATGATGTCATTGTCACGCCAGGATTTTACAAGATCGTTCATTTTGTTTGAGATGCGTTTAATTGGATCATTATTTAATTTCTTGTATGTATTCTGGTCTTGAAGGAGTTCTATTATTTGGTTTTTGTATTTATTTTTATTCATGATAACAGTAACCTGGCCTTTGTCTGCCTTAGTGACAAGGACATCATCGTTGTCGCGCAAGAATCGGTTACATTTAGCATATTCATTTAAGATGTGTTTGTCTAAAAAGTCCTGTTTTGTCACTCGGAGGAAATTATGGAGCGAATGAGCGATGCGGCTCCGTATGTCTGCTAACGCATTGTCTGTTATTTTATAACTATTCAATTCAACATTTTTTATTGTCTCAAGCACAAGTTTCTCACGATCGATACTGTTCCGATGATTGAAAGGTAAACCAAATTTGTCACCTAAACTCAATATATCCATAACATTTTTAGGGATTGTTTTGTCGCTAGTGTTTATTATCCATTTGGAGCGGTCATTATTAAAAAAGGAACTGTAAGTAGGATTTTGTTTCATTATTAAGAGGTTAAACTTATTTATTGATTTTTCTTTAGCGACTTTGTTATGTCGGGTGAGTTTATTGTTATTAAATTTGAAGTAGTTAGCTAGCAAGTCACTTGGTAGTTTAAATTGACGGTTTTCGATCCAAATTATGTTAGACCTCAATGATTTTAAATAGCAATTAATGTCTTTAATTTCGAGGTTTAGTAGGATTTTTTGACTCCGGCATTTATGCGACTGAAACTTGCGCTTGACATAGTAGTTAAAAAACGATAAGTTAAACTTCAAATTATATATGTGAGGTGGTAAGACATCGTAACGTCTGCATCTGAGTAGAAATTTTAGACGTTGGTTGTTGGAGCAGATCTTCATTTTTGTACTTATCCATGATTTCATCAATTTAGTGCAGTCCTCTCCAAATTGTCTCGAGACATAGGTGTAGAAATTCATCTCGGTAAGAAACACCATTTCCAGTCGTGGTGTGTGAAAAAACAACGAAAGAGTGTAAGTCGCCAGTAGTTTATTATCAGTAGAAAGAATTGTTCAACGACGTTTGGCTGGCAGATGTCTTTATTAGTTTGATTCCAACGTTTCGACCATACGGATCGTGGTCCTTTTCAAGGAAATAGATGTTCTACAAGTTTACAGGACATTGCAGTGTGGAAATTTTTATATCGCTCGCATTATGAATTTTTCTACTTACTGTAACGAAGCACTGCTCCCTGCTCTTCCCGGTTCTGGTTTCCGGATTGTCGGACGGGATTCCGAAATCCGCTTGAGCTTCGCGTAACTATCAGACGCGCGGTTCGTCTTAATCGGTCGGAAGAGCGAGCGTCGTTCGGTCGGTGTTTGACGTGCTGTGTAACGGAAAAAGGGATCCTCCGTTCCTCCTATTTGCCGAATATGCTCAGCTCCAGGGCCGTCGGGAGGAAAGGAGGACAAGATCTTAATTACTTAGTAAAGGCAATCGCTTGGGGGAATCGGAAAATAAGTCGGACAGGTGTTTAAAGGTTAAATAAACGTGAACTAGGTTTATTCAGGAACGAATACAAAGGATTTCGTGGTGATTATAATAGGTCCGCCCTAGAGTGAAAATACAAAGGAAAGAGAAAGGGTTAATATTACAGTGAGTCCGCCCTGTGTTTAAATACAGAGAAAAACAGGATATGGTTAGTCGGAATCAATCGGAATACGGAAAATAATAATTACAATGTGGATCTTGATCGGAGTATAAAAATAAGTGAATACAGTACGGAATCGATCCGGAATATAATAAGTACACTACGGATTGTAACGGAATACGGAAATAAATGGATACAAGACGGAGTTTTGAACGGAACACGGAAATAAACAGTACAATCAAATCGGAGTACGGAGATAATGGATAAAATACGGAATTACGCGGAAAACAATGAATATAATACGGATTGATATCGGAGTACGGAAGATACGGAACTATACTGGAAAATACTGGAAGCAGTCAGACAGGATGACTGCACGGACCCCTTTACTTTGCAAGGGAAGAAATAATGCGGAATTAATACTACGGATCTTACTATTAGAGTTAACGGAGAATATTATTTCCCACCCGAATATTACCCCCCTGAATGCTATACCGGTCAGGAAACAGGAAGGGATCAGGTC